CCGAAAAATTATAGACCGATAAAACAACGTATAAGTTGATCACGTCTGTATTGACGAACCGTACTTATTCCTTTCTCGAAACAAACAGCACTCTCCCGCTGGAACAGAAGGGATGCAGAAGAGGTTCATGTGGCTGCAAGGATCAACTTCTGATAAATAAAATGATCCTGGAAAATTGCAGGAGACGACGCAGGAATCTAAGTGCAGCGTGGATTGATTATCGTAAAGCCTTTGATAGTGTTCCACATTCTTGGATCCTTAAGACTTTGAAATGTACAAAGTCTCCCCTGTGGTATTAAATTTCCTTAAGCACAGCATGGGAATGTGGAACACCAAACTATACCTTAGTCACACCGGGGCACTGCCATATCCAACCGTCTGAGTATCCGACGTGGAATCTTTCAAGGAGATTCTCTGTCACCCCTTCTGTTTTGTTTATCCTTAATCCCTCTTACACATGAACTGAACAACAGTAGCTATGGTTACAAAATAAATATGAAAATATTCAATCACCTACTCTACATGGATGATCTCAAACTCTTTGCCAAAGACGACAATGAGTTGAAAGGCCTCCTCAATATTAAAAATACTTCAGTGACGACATGTAGGTATGGACTTCGGATTAGATAAATGTGCAAAAGTAACTTTCAAGAAAGGTAGGATTAAGAAACACCCTTAATAGATTTAGATTTTGTCACAAAAATTAGGGAACTGGAGCATGGTGAAATTATAAGTACCTAGGAATTAAAAGGAGATGGCATACAACACCCCCCAAATGAAGGAAAAAATAAGAAAAAAAATACTACAGGCGTGTAAATCTGGTACTAAATCCACTGAGCTAAACTAAAAAATAGGATATCAGCCATAAACACATACAGCTTTAATGTCATTAACTGGACCATAGCTGAAATTAAGCGAATGGATGCCAAAACGAAAAAGCTACTCATTTGCTATCGCATGCATCATCCCAAAGCTGATGTCGACCGTCTGTATGTGCCCACATCCGAAGGAGGCAGAGGATTAGTTCAACTAGAACTGTCCTACAAAACTACAACAATTGGCCTCCAAAGATATTTGGAAACTACAGAAGACTGGATGATGGTATGCGTCAAGGAACATGAAAAGTAGTAAGCGTCTCTACTCCGTAATGAAGGAAGCCAACAAATTCAAAATGGAGTTCCAAATGGGCGTAGATGCAACTTACACCGGCTGAAACTTACCTAAAAAAAGATAGCTAAGACGAATGCAACCGACCAGTTACAGAAGCGATGGCAAGATAAACCGCTTCATGGCCAATAAAAGAAACCAAACAAGCTGACGTAACAAAACCCGTACCCATCAGTGGCTACGTAGTGCAGGGTTGAAAAAGGAAACTGAAGGTTTTATCCTTGCTGCGCAGGACCAATGCTTGCTAACTAGGAATTATCAAGCACATAAAAATATTGTGTCAGCCCAAAATGCAGATTCTGTGATAAATATCCAGAAACGATTGATCATCTTGTATCAGGTTGTACGGTGTTGGCACCCACTGAATATAAAACCCGACAACAAGTGGGCCAATATCTGCACTGGAAAATCTGCAACTTCTACGGGAAGAAAACAGAAAGAAACTGGTATGAACACCACCCAGACCCGGTTACGGAGATAGGACCTGTTACAATTCTATGGGATTACACAATACACACTGACAGAACAATCAAAGCCAACCGGCCAGATATTGTTAAAAAGACCACAAACAAAAACGGTGCCTCCTTATTGATATGGCAGTCCCTGCTGACTGCAATGTATCTTTGAAGATATTCAAAAAGTTGTCAAAGTACAAGGACCTTGAAATAGAAATCTCGAAAATGTGGCATATGGGAACATCAAAATCCCTGTTGTAGTTGGAGCCCTAGGACTGGTTGGAAAAAGATTGCAGTAGACTAATTGAAGGGATTCCTGGAAGTCCATGCCTCAAGGAGATACAAAAAATTGTTCTGACAAGTACAGCCCACACCTTACGAAGGGCTTTATCTATGTAATTTAATTTTTTTTTTTGTCAGTGGAAAGTGTCATGACGCCATTTCTAACCTTAAACCCGGAAAGAAATGTGTAAACGCCAGAAATCAAAGAAAATGATAATAATAATAATAATAATAATAATAATAAAAAGAAAACAATATACATTTTTCCATGTTGCTAATAGATAAAGGAATCGGAAATTTGATTACCCCACTTGGCTTCGTCAAACACTGTTAGGTGGCGCTATTTACGTCTATAACAGTGATTTTGTTGGAAATTGAAATAAAATCAATAAATAAAATAATAATAATAATAAATAAAAAAAAGGAAAAAGGTATATCTTTTCCCATGATGCTAATAGATAAAGGAATCGGAAATTTGATTACCCCACTTGGCTTCGTCAACGCGGTTAGGTGGCGCTATTTACGTCTATAACAGTGATTTTGTTGGAAAATGAAATAAAATCAATAAATAAAATAATAATAACAATAATAATAATAATAATAATAATAATAAAAAGAAAACAATATACATTTTTCCATGATGCTAATAGATAAAGGAATCGGAAATTTGATTACCCCACTTGGCTTCGTCAAACGCGGTTAGGTGGCGCTATTTACGTCTATAACAGTGATTTTGTTGGAAAATGAAATAAAATCAATAAATAAAATAATAATAATAATAATAATAATAATAATAAATAAAAAAAAAGAAAAAGGTATATATTTTTCCATGATGCTAATAGATAAAGGAATCGGAAATTTGATTACCCCACTTGGCTTCGTCAAACGCGGTTATGTGGCGCTATTTACGTCTATAACAGTGATTTTGTTGGAAAATGAAATAAAATCAATAAATAAAATAATAATAACAATAATAATAATAATAATAATAAAAAGAAAACAATATACATTTTCCATGATGCTAATAGATAAAGGAATCGGAAATTTGATTAACTTGGCTTCGTCAAACGCGGTTAGGGTGGCGCTATTTACGTCTATAACAGTGATTTTGTTGGAAATTGAAATAAAATCAATAAATAAAATAATAATAATAATAAATAAAAAAAAAGAAAAAGGTATATATTTTCCCATGATGCTAATAGATAAAGGAATCGGAAATTTGATTACCCCACTTGGCTTCGTCAAACGCGGTTAGATGGCGCTATTTACGTCTATAACAGTGATTTTGTTGGAAAATGAAATAAAATCAATAAATAAAATAATAATAATAATAAATAAATAAATAAAAAAGAAAAAGGTATATATTTTCCCATGATACTAATAGATAAAGGAATCGGAAATTTGATTACCCCATTTGGCTTCGAAAACGCCCATTATGCGGCTCTATTTAATTCTATAAAAAACAAACATTTCTTCCTTTCTTTTGCTCTTCCTTGCTCCAAGATGTAGCCACACCTGAGAAAAAGACGTTCTCGCTGGAACACGTTCGTTTCCCCGGTCCACTGACGGCGGAAATCTCTCTTTCCACTTTCCAACACATAGCGTTCGCACGTGTCTTTCAAAACCTCCACTTATGAAGTAAATCAACATTTTCTTTGGTCGTTCCAACTCAGCGCAAGGCTGACGAGCTCGACCATTATAACGATGCTTATTCTTACTTACCCTAACTTTAGGACCAACAAAAAAAAAGGACATATCTAAGAGTCATTGAGAACTTTGTTTCTCTACAGTTTTCACTATCAAAAAAAAAAAAAAAAAAAAAAAAGAAAAAAACGGCCCGTACCATAAATTCAAATTTTTGTATGATTCTTCTTAATTGTTTACATGTGAACACGCACACACACCTAAAATACACCCAACACGCAAACCTTTAAATTCTTTAAATTCTATACCATCAAGAAGGTGCAAGATCGTCTTACAGACGTGCTGGTCCATATGCAAAAGTGTGTTCACCATGTGTCTTTCACTTTTGGCTTTGTTTAGTAAATATCAATTTGGACACCTTGCCAGAGAACAATGCTCAGCCTGCTAAGCTTAGAGATTATACTAGTAAATTAAATCCTTTTCTGAGCACTGCTCATTTGTGGTCTTGTACCAAACTAGCAATTAAATAGCAATTTGGACGCCTCATCATGGAGTACTAACTCGAAACGACTTATCATGACTGCTGATAGTTTCAGGCTAACAGTCTGTCCGACACTCATGGTTTTCACTAAATAATTACTCAATACAATGCCTACTCCAGATAGAGTGTTACTGAACGAGATTGTTGGACATAAGAGGAGAAAGAATGTGCAGGTTATGAGGATATGTAGGATAGATAACGGTTGATCGGCAACTTGAAAACGTTAAGATTGTAGTTATCGAGTAAGCACCCTCTCGGGAGCCTGTTCTACAGAGTACCCGTTCTCGAGAAGAAGTTGTCTGAGTGGAACTTCCTTGATACTAATAGAATATGAAGGGAATGGGGATGACAATAATCGAGGAAGCATCCTCTCAGGAGTCTGTTCTACAAAGTACCGGTTCTCGGGAAAAAGTTGTCTGAGTGGAACTTCCTTGATACTAATGGAATAGGAAGGGAAAGGGGATGATAATAATCGAGGAAGCATCCTCTCGGGAGTCTGTTCTACAAAGTAGCGGTTCGTTCACGGGAAGAGGCTGTCCGAGTGGACTTCCTTCTTCTTCTTCTTAACTTAACAATGAAATTCGAAGGGAATGGGGTTTTTTTTACCCTGTATAAAAATTGCCCATTTCCCTCGGCACTTTCCTTTCTGAGACACCTCAGATATTAGGTACTGACCCTGACCCTCCACCTCTTAGTGCAGTAGGAGAGGTACAGCGGCGATAACACCCTGGAATTAAACACATACTTATCACAATTGGGGTTCTGATGAGGTCAAAACACAGCTTAATTCAAAATTGAATTATTTCCCTTGATTCTAAATCCAGGTAAAGTTTCTAATGACGTCACTCCTTAGTTACTGACATATACAAACAACATATGAACGTGTCGGAAACTACAGTCGAAACGTAAAAATGCCTGCAGGAAGGGATGCAGTCCTTAACAGGTCAATATCTGAGAAAATCGAGGAACTAAAAGCGAAAAAGTCTCTCCTAGGTAAGAAAAAAAAAAAAAAATTTTAATTGTAGGTTTTGTTTCCAAAAAGGAGAGGTCATTTCTTGTGTGTCTCTTCTTCTCTCTCGCACTTGTATTTATTTAGTAGAGCACAGATCTGTCGACAGATGAATTTGAGGCCTAATTTAATATTTAATTTTATAGTGCCCCACTTTCTTATGTAGTTACTGAGTATGAGTCAACGTGTTTTTGTTTTGGTTTTTTAATTACTTTACTTTTACTAGAAAAAACAATAATGATTTTTTAAGAGTTTATGCAAGAGCCACGGACATAATACTCCCTTTTTTTTATTTCAGCAAGTAATATTAAAGAGAGAAAAAACAAAAAAGATACAAAAATCCCCCACACACACACACACACACAAAAAACGTTGCACATTGCATTTATTGTAATGTAACTTTATCTGTGTAGTGTCCTCTATCTGGCCCATTTCAAAACAGTTGTGCATTTATTTACTATAAAATTGATGAGCTTCTCTTAATTGTAGTAAACAAAATGCACCTTGTACATCATCAAATAGATTAATTAGTTTTAATTATAATCTCTAATGTACTCTGATGAATAAATTAAATTGGAATTTTGAATTAGTTTCTTAAAGTACCCTTTAAAGTATAATGTAAGAGATTCCAATTTTTTCTCATTCAGCTTAAATAAAATTAACTAAAATTTATTTTAGTGATCAGGGAATTATATTTTTGTTTGTTAAAGTTTCTTTAAAATAATTCAAGTTCACAATTGGTTTATTTTGTTAAATTTTAATTGTTAGTAACAATAGCTTGAGACCAGAATTAAATTCAATTGCTAAAACTAACTTTGAGAAAATATTTTCCCTAACTTTTTTAACATGGGTGGGGAAATAATAAAGCTTATGATAATATTAATAGTTGTTGTTGCTTGCATTTTTACCAGAAACATCAATTTCATCTTACTTATTATAAAACGCAGATTGATTGTGTGTGTGTGTGTGTGTGTGTGTGTGTGTGTGTGTGTATCTGTACGTTTATATATTGGATCGTATTTCCTACATTTTTGAACCGATTTCAACAAAACTTCACAGGACTACTTAAAATTGCATTGCGGCGGTTCTGACAGTGCTAAAAATTGGAAAAACACAATTGTTTTTGCACGAAATCAATTTAAAAACACGATTAAGAGGCATTAATGAAAGGGGGACAACTCATATCAAGTTATACTTATTAATATAGAATTATCGAGTTATACTTATTATAAAACCCAGGTTGGTTGTTTGTGTGTGTGTGTTCGTTTATATATGGGATCAGATTTCCTACATTTTTCAACCGATTTCAACAAAACTTCACTTTTTTGTGGGGGAAGGTACTGTTTCTTATGGTCTTGCACATTTTTTTCTTTATTTTTACATTCAGAATGCTTTAAAAATCCCATTTAGAAGACAATTGTTTATAATAAAATTCTATTCAATCGGTAGACTCATAACGATTGTAAACAATGTTTTTGTTTTTGTTTGAGTTTGACAAATTCATAAAAAAAAAAAAAAGCTAATCAAATCATGCATGTCCGTCAACCTTAAACAATAATCTTTGTCAATTTTATTTTTCAGTCTTTATGATGGTCGATACTTGATCTATCTCTTACTGTTACATCCCGGGCAACGCCGGGCTCTACTGCTAGTTCTTAATGTAGCGAACTGAAGAGATTATAGAACTGAAGAGATTATAGTATATGGTAATTGTATTACTGCTTATTACTGGCATAATTAGAAAAGTCCTGAAAATCCTTATGAAGAAGTTGGTAGAACTAGAATTCCAAGAAAGAATCAAAACTATCCAAATAAAAGTATTGATCAGTATTAGAATTTAACTTCAGAACCATGACTACAATATATTACAGGTTTGTTGCGGAGGTATGGGTTATTAGATGAAATATATATATATCAGAAGGTGTATTTTGCTGGCTGCATGAAAATAGACTTCACCACAAACATTTTAACTTGAGTATGGCACAAGATCATTAATACAAAAGTAATAAACAAAAATATTTCTTTTTTAGAAAACAAGAATAATGCATTTATAACAAATGTTTACAGTATGTGAAAGAGAATATTTCTTGAATAGATAGAAAGTTTGTTCTGTGTTCCTGATGATTAAAGGATTAAGGAATTGATCAGTTCAAATGAAATTATATTTTACATCCACACTTTGTGTTACAGTTGATCTTGGAGATTAAGTTGTAATAATACAGTAGGAGTTATTTCCCTTTAACTATTATTTGAATTAGTTAAGACTTTAAGGAAGTTTTATTTTTTATCTGGACTCACAGAAAAAATTTCAGTTCATAAAATAATAGTAAGTTTCAATAGAATGAATATTCTTTGACAGGAACGTGCTGTAGGCAGAAATTTGGTGGAAGATGAGTTCAAAGAAATTTGTTGATTGAGGAAAAATGTAATTTTCATTTGAATATCGAAAAGTTGAATTAGCTTACTGCTTATTGTTGTTCACCGAAGAGAATTGAATATGAGTGAGAGAATACTGAAAAGCTGAGAATATGTTGAACCATAACTTATAGTTCCAGAGGATTTTGAAGTAATATTTCTCACTGGTGAATATTGACAAGAGGCAAAAGTTGTAAAGTTGAATAAGTTTCTGTGTAAGGAGTGAATAGTTAAGAGGTGCTTATTGTTCATACGTATGTGTGTGTGTCATAGCATCTGCATAGCATTTTCCTTTGAAGGGACAAACATGACTTCTTCACTGCTACATCTTGTATGTGTGGGAGAAGGCAAAAGAGGAAGAGTGAAGATTTACTACGTATTTATAACCAACATGGCCACATGGTAGGCTCCAGAAAGCATTTCTGATTTTGGCATTGTTGCCAATTTGAACAGGTCAACCATATGGATGTAAGTGAGAACACGATATTAGGATCAATTGACCAATGAGGAGTCAGAGAAATAGTAAGTTAGGATTTTAACTTTGATCCACTTTTTGCACAGATTTTTGCCAATCAAAGTGCTGTTACACAAAAAAAATGTGTTGGGATCTTTTTTAACCAATGGAATTAGTTAGATCCCAAATAAAATATTGTTAAATTGAAGTAGGACACTAAAGGTTCACATTCTAGCGTCTTTTCTAATCCTCAACTCAACTTTTTTCCCTTGCTTTCAAATCCAGCTCCCAAAGCCTTGTTCCTTATCAGAGATAAGGATATATCTTCTGACAAACAAGAGAGCTGACAAATATAAAAAGGAGTTTGAACATCATTATTGTTCTTGGTGCTATGAAGTTTGAGGAAGGCGCTTGCAGCTTGTCAAACCCTTGCTGGCTCCCGTAGCCTTGTTCTTATCAGGGATAAGAATATTATTTCTAATGAATGAAAGGGCTAGGAAATTTGTATAGCAATGTTAGAGGGAAAAATCCCCAATGTTTCTGAGCCTCTTCATCTCTATAAATACGGAGAATCTATGCCTATTTGGCACTGAGTATTCGACAACCATCTGTGATAAGAACAGGTCGGTGACAGGGAAGCAGTCATCTTCAAGAAAGAACAACCTACTTTGGGCTGTCATGAAAGAACGTCAACCCACTACTAAAAACCAATTGAGATCTGCTTCCTTGCACCTAGAAGATATCTGTCACCGGCCTATGAACTCACTGAACTACAAAATTCGTATCTTCCAACAGTTTCCTCTTCTACAAGAACTCTGAAAAAATCTGTGAGTGTTTTAACTCTTTGATGTAATGGAATAACCTGGCACCCCCATGAGTGACTTCACTATAGGTAATAACTACCTTTAAGGATCCATAAGGCAACAGACTACATGAGACTTGCTGGAATTTGTTGAGTACGACTCCTATTTACTTGAGAACTATTCAACCTTCCAAAAAGCAGCACCCACAACTGGTTTTACAATAACCTTTATTTAGTTATCTACTGTGTTGTTCCAGTGATATTCCTATTAGCATGAAATACAACACCCTTCAACAATCTACTTGCTTAAAGAACTTTTTAAGCGCTCAGAGAAATATTTTGAGCAAGCTTTTTTATGAACATTTTTTTTCTTCCTTTAAAGTTAAAAGGGATTTTCTTCTCCCTTTCTTTCTCTCATAATTGTGTATATCATTATACCCTTTCTGTGTATGTAAATAAATATCTTTTATTGTTACTGTTATGAAAACTTACCCATAATAGCATAATGGACTATTCCATACGTAATAAATACTATGCCTCAAGAGGAAGCAGGGAGTTCAGTCTGAAGTCTGGAGTGAAGTCCGTCAGGATTCAGTCAGTCAGAACGAGTCAGTCAGTCGAGTCAGAGGCAGACCAAAACAGAGTCGCGTTCAGACAATTACTACTAACCCTGATTGTTCATACTAACACTTCTACTTCTCTGTATATATTCCTGTTTGTAATATATCTGTGTTATTCCATACCTGTGTTCAAGTTCTTCTTTATTGGTTCTACCTTGGACTATCACCTTGTTACAAGGAACCGGACCATAACAGTTACATACCTAGCAGGAGTTTGAATCTTTATTCTTCTGCCTGAAAGAACCACCTAAAAATAGAGAATTGTCCACTCTAATCTTTCAAGCCATTGTTGCTTTTTTTGATTTTGCCACATTTTTAACCTCAACCATTTCATGTGGGAAAGCCAGGACAAATTTCACACATCAAGTTTATACTTGAATCTATATGTCAGTCTTTCTCAGTCTTTTGTTTACTTTAGGGCACACTTATAGAAAAACTAAAACTCCAGGTCGCACTATAATTTTAATAAGGAAAATTTAGTGATGAAATTTGAAAATAGGATAATAATAAAGGAGTCTCTTGAAGTAGGCATTTATTTTTATGACATTACATTGTATATTTATAAATACTTTGAAAAAGAAAAAAAATTACCTTTTAATGGTTGTCATTTTTGGTTTAGCATTCCCAAAGAAGATTAGTGTATATTTTTCATTTAAAGGGATTAATGAAGAGTCTGCTATTATTTTTTAGTGA